TGGGGAGGGGAGAGGGAGCTAGGAGAAAGAGAAAGGCAGAAGAAGAGGGGAGAGGAGGACATGAGGGAGCAGGAAGACTGAGTTGGGTGAAGAATAGAGGAGAGCAAGTTAAGAGATACCGTAATTGAGGGAGCCATTATAGGATATATATATACTAATTTAAATTAGAAACAATCTTATTTCACACATGAATCCCTGTTCCCTCTTCTTCCCATCCTCCCATCCTCCCCAACGATCCCCCACCCCCTCCCCCATCCATCTCCCAGGGAGAGTGAGGCCTTCCTTGAGGGATCAAGAAAATCTGTCAAGTCATTTGGGGCAGGCCCTAGGCCCTCCCCTGTATATCTAGGCTAAGAGAGTATTCTTCCATGGGAAATGGGCTCCCGAAGTCCATTCCTGTACTAGGTAAAGACAAATCTGGCACTAGTGAAATGTCCAGAGATCTACAAGGATGACACCAACTAACAATCTAAGCAATAGTGTGAGGATTCTAGAGAGTTTATAAAAGGAGGCTTCACTGCTTTGCCAAGGTAATTTTTTTCTTTTAGTAGCAGGAATCCTTGTCATGTGGCTTTAGTCATATATTCAATTTATCACATTGACTTTTCATCAGAAGCTTTTCATTGTGGGAAATGTAACTGTTTTCATTTCTTCCTTTAACTCATCTCATTTCTCACTATGGCTTCAGTTTGAAAGCCCAAGGACCAGATGGAGTGACTTGACCTGTCTGCATCCAGAGTGTTACCTTTAGATGGTGACTTAAGAAGAATAAGGTTAACTTTTTCTGTCTGTGAGATGACTGTGGTAGGATCCCATTGGCTCGTATTTCACTGGCAAGTCACCTTATAAGACACAATAAGAAATCTTAGGCTGAAATGAGTTTTTTAGTATATCAGTTTCAGTTTCTAGTCATCCCAAGTACTACTGTCTCAGTAGCTGTGCCATGTGTGTGCTGTGGGTGACAGCTGGGTCAGAGCATGTGGCACTCATACTCTGGAATCAGCTTGCCAAATGGCCTGGGACTGAAAGAAGAAACACTGCTGTTTTTCATGTCTCAATTTTCTTTCAAATCTGACACAAAGAGGTGTTAAGAGTAAGAAGTCAACATGAGAAGAAGCATTACCACTGTGTTTCAGAGTGTGGTGTTTGGGGTGTCGAAGTAGGTTTAAAGTGCCCTGGAGTTTGGCAATCAAGGAAGGCTGCTCCGCACACCGCTTTCCATAGCTCTTTTAAAGGCACCATTTTTGAAGCTTTAGGTATCAGGTTTGAACTAAAGGGACTAAATATGTTTCTTCATCACAGAGTGAGACTATCACTGCCCTGCCACACTTCCAAGGGCAGCATGGATTAAGAGATTTGATGCCACGGCCCCTTATAAATGATAAAAGAATTTCTCAAATTATGCGAAAAAATGAAGTGAAGAATACAGACACTAGGCATGATAAAACAAAAATTTTTAAATGAAGCATGATAATTAATCTTCAGATGTGAGGGAAGCCCAGTTCTTTTCTATCAGGTTTTAGCATTGTCCCATCACCTTTAGCTGCTTTACACCGAGTGAAAGTGTTTCTCTTATTTCAAGGCCTCTATTGCTCAAGTATGGCCCAAGCATCCCCAGCTTCTTGGCAGGGTCAGTCAGTTGCCGCTTGACTGTTTTTTGTAGCTCTTAGTCCTTCCTCTTCCAATGAACTTTCTTTCTCTGGAATATAATTCTTATTTTTATAAATTTGATTAAAACGTTAACTTTATAGGGAAAAAGTAAATAATAATAAAAAAATAATAACTATACTCTTTAAATCACCATCCAAAATGCAGACTGGTGAAATCTGATTCTATTGTGGCTTCTAAACTGGCATTTTCTTTACATTATCAAGCTGGTTCCAAGTAAGTAAAACTTTAATCCTATTCTTACTCATGGCTACAAATGGCTCAATTTGCAAAGTTGTAAAATTGGAAAATGAGCTCGCTTGATAGATTAGGTCATGATTTCTAGAGTTCAAGTTGAAGTCAGAGACTATAAAAAGATGGTTTTAGGCTAAAATCTCTCAAGTTCTCTGGTGGTTTTTATCATTCAATCAATTCTAATGTCACCTTGCAAGATACTGTAAAAGTAAAAGGTAGGTAGTCTGATTCATCATGGCTTCAACTTCAAGACACATCTACCTCTATGCATTCAATTCTCTTTTTAACCAAGAGCTCCTTCTCAAACAGGATATTATTTCCCACAGTGCTATGTGTTTTCTCTGGTAATTTTCTTCCTAAGATTGCATTTTGACAAACTCTTATTCAGTCCTTACCTCAGCCATTTCTTCTTCTATGAAACACACTGGTTTTCTTAGGGATTAAAATATGAATCTTCTTTTTAATCCCATACATAATGTACCCATCATAGTGTCATCCTACCTATTTATGATTGAGACATAATTTATAGGCAGTAAGATCTCTCTAGCCCCTGATCACCTATGTTTTTGATAGAGGACCTCTCATTGAACCAGAATCCATGTGTCTTTGCCTCTCCAGTTCTGTTATTACAGAAGCCTGACTTTCAGTTTAGCGTTTAAATGGGTGCTGGAGATCCAAACTCAGATCCTCAAGCTTGTACAGTCATTTCTCCAACCCCGAGATCCACTCATTTTACAGAGTGTAGTGACCCTTGGTGTTAAAATATAGAAATGCTTAATCAATCACTACTTGTACCCTAACCTGGATTATGTATATTTTCTAAAGTTTCTTTCTGTCTTTTCTACTGGTAGGCCTCCCCAATACATCTGTATAGAAAATAAACACCTTTCTGATTTCTGTCACAATGGTGTTTCATTTTTATAATACTTTATATAAATGAAATTACAGAATTTGTAATCCTTCCTACCTGGCTTCTTTGATCAACAAAATATTTTTAAAATTATTGCTTGTTGAATTAATTTACTTTGTTGTATAGAAATATTACACTGAAGACAAATATCACAATTTATTTTTTTTAGATTTTTGTACACCACAGAGGTTTATTCTTGTGTAAAACCTGTGTGGATACATAATTTGATTAAAACACTCCAACTAGGAAGTTTTTGAGTTACAGAGAAGTTGTATTTAATTTTATTAAAGGCACCAAAATCTTTCAAAATTTTTTTACCTCAACCAGCTCTTCTTCAATTCTGAAAATTGTTGTTTTCCTGCATACTTAAAAAGTGGGGAATAACCTTCAACTCATTGGCACAGAAGACAGTTTCCTCAATAGTATACTGATAGCCCAGGCACTAAGATCGACATTTAGTAAATAGGACCCCATGAAATTTAAAACCTTCTGTAAGCCAAAAGACACTGTTGATCAGGCAAAGTGGCAGCATAACAAAATGGGAAAAGATTTTCAAGGACTCCACATTTGATAGAAGGCTAATACCCACACTATATAAAGAACTAAAACAGCTAGATATCACATAATCCAAATAATTCAGTTAAAAATGGTGTGCAGATCAAGACAGAATTCTCAATAGAGGAAACTCAAAAGATTGAAAACACTTAAAGAAATGTTCAAATTCTTGGCCATCACGGAAATACGAATCACAGCTACTTGAAGATTTCATTTTACACCTGTCAGAATAGCTAAGATCAACAACACAAATGACAGCTCATATTGACGGAGATGCGAATGAGAACTCTCCTCCATTGTTGATGAGATTGCAGACTTGTACAGTTAGGATGGAAATCAGTGCGGTGGTTCCTCAGAAATATGGGAAATCACACAAAAAGACAAGCATAGTATGTACTCACTCATATATGGATTTTAGGCATGAAACAGGGGGGGTGGGTGCCAGCCTACAATCCCACAGCCAAAAAGTCTGGGAAACAGGGGGGACGCTAAGAGAGATATGCATGGTACCCCAGAGAAGGGGAACAGGACAGAATCTTCTGAGGGGATTGGGAGCACGGGGGGGGGAGCTGGGAGATAGAGAGGGGTGAAGAGGAAGGGAGAGGAGGACATGGGGGAGCAGGAAAGTTAAGTCGGGGAAGAATAGGGGAGAGCAGGATAAGATACCATAATGGAAAGACTCATTATAGGTTTGAAGAGAGCTGTCCCTCCCTGCATTTCCTCACTCCCTCTTCCCTGCCCCTTGATTTTTTTCCAAGAAAAGAAAAAAAAAAAAGATTCTAGGTTATGGTAGAATATTATTTTAAGGTGTGATTTGTTTTTTCTGCTTTTGTTTAACTCTGTGAAGCTGTGTTATTGTGCCTGTCTAAAACACCTGGTGGTTCTAATAAAGAGTTGAATGGCCAATAGCAAGGCAGGAGCAAATATAGGCGGGGCTGGCAGGCAGAGAGGATAAATAGAAGGAGAAATGAGAAGAGAACAAGGAAACGAGGACATCAGGGGTCAGTCACCCAGCCAGACATGGACCAAGAAGGAAAGATATAAAGAAGAAAGGTAAATAAAACCCAGAGGGAAAAGATATGTAGATGGGATAATTAGAGATAAGAAAAGCTGGCCAGGGACAAGCCAAGCTAAGGCTAGGCACTCAAAACTAAAAAAAAAAAAAGAAAAAGAAAAAGAAAAAAAGAAAAAGAAATGCCAGAAATCAGTCTCTGCGGGATATCAAAAGAGAAACATTAACCAAGCCACAAAACCTTTAACATAATCTGTCTTGCTTATAAGATATGCTAGATCAATGGTGACTCAGAACTTGTGCTAGTACTCAACCAATGTCTTTTACTTAAGGCCCACTCCACAAGATGGAACCCATACCAGACACTGCATGGGTCTAGATAGTCCAGAGACCTAGGGTAAAACCAAACACAATAGTCTGAAAAACAAAACAAACAAAAGTGATCAATAAAATGAATTCTGATGATAGTCTGCTATACTCACAGATCAACCTTTTGTAGTCATCATCAGAGAATCTTCTTCCTGCATATGTGGATATCAGACATTACAGAGAGACTTTGAAACATACAGGTCTAAATAGGATGTCTCTGTTAAATGTCTCTGTTCAGAGTTCAGGGAAATTCTTGGAAGTGAACAGGAAGAGCACAAGATCCAGATGGCTTGTAGGACATCAAGAGAACACAGTTTTATGAATCAACTGAACAAGGCTCGTATGAACCCACAGAGAATGAAACAGTAAGTACAGGAGAGGCATGGACCTTCACCAGGTCCTCTGTGTGTATAGTATGACTTTTGGTTTAGTGATTTTATGGTACCTTTGAGTTGTTAAAAACAGTGGGCCTCTGATTCTTGTACCTTTTCATGGGATCTTTTCCTTCTGTTATTTTTCTTTGTTGAACTTTGATGTGATATTTTTAAACTTTTCTTTCTTTTATTGGGGGGAGTTTTTGAGACAGAGTTTCTCTATGTAGCACTGGCTGTTCCAGAACCCACTCTGTAGACCAGACTAGACTGAAACTCACAGCGATCCTCCTGTCTCTGCCTCCTGAGTGCTGGGATTAAAGTCTTGCACCATCACCGCCTGGTGATGGTTTTTGTTTTATCTTATATTTTATCCTGTTATGTTTGGTTCTTATCTCTTAGAACCCTTTTCCTTTCTAAGAGACAGAAAAGGTGGATCCAGATGTGAGGGAAAGTTTGGAGAAAGTGAGAGGACTAAAGGGAGGGAAACTGTAATCAGGATATATTGTATGAGAAAATAAATTGTTTTCAATACAAAAGAAAAGAGAATAATAAATTCATGTATTTTGCAAAAATTTACAAACTTTAAATTGTGAATGTGAGAAATTCTCACATATGTATGTCAGACAAATGCATATATACATATATTATATGTTTATATTTGAGGAATCCTACAACTAAAATAATGAGTATACCATGCTTTGTGCCATTTTAATATCAGCTTGTCCATTAATTTCTCCTCCTAAATCCTCTGCACCTACTGATATTCTTTCTCTACCTGCATTCTCTTTTGTTTTCTGAATTTTGTATAAATAGAATTATATTATGTAGACTATTAGGTGAAATTAAGGCACAAATTAGTAAAGAATCTAACACATTATTTGATCTGATCAAAATTGCGACATTGAAAGCACATATTTTAGGCAGAATGAAATGTGCTTCAAGTTCTAACAGATTTCCAACCAACTTTCAAGGCAAAAGCTATGAATGACAAGAAATATTACACCAAGTATTTACCAAGAATTTGGACAGGTGCTAAGTTGGGTGGCAAGATATCTTGTAAGAAAGGCACTGGGTGACTTGAAGTATACATGTGAAGGGGGTGATCTTTAGAAAGAGAGTGAGGAAAGGAAAATAAACACATTCTTTGGGAAAAGATTGGGGATGTAAATCAGTGCTATAACTTTTACATAGCAAGGTGGGACCTTTTGTTCAATCCTCAGCACGAAGGAGAAGAACGTTCCTGGGAAAGGAAAGGCAATCCAGGGACAATGACCCTGATGGCCCACTACAGGATTGCAAAGTTTGGAACCAATGGAAACTATATCTCACATCAAGTAAGCTACATTTTCCACAGTATACTTAGAAGTAGATATGAAATCTGGTCTTTCTTGTCTGCTTGGCCTAGTGGTTTGAGACATCACAATCTGTCTTTGACTGATAAGATTGTTTTTCTCTACAAGATGACATATTTTCTCTGACATTATTCATTCAACATGACAATCCAGGCATTTTTCCCTATGTTGTTGACAAAATAATATTTTTCTATTTTTCTGAGAAATAATCCATTGTGTATATTTTACAGTTGTTAATCCATTGGACTTTTGTTACACATTTTGGTTGTTTACAGTTTTGATTCTTTCAATAAAGTTAAAGTAAGCACTCACTTTTGATTCTTACCCAAATGAATATTCTGCTTTCCTTAGGGTGCATAAGAAAATCTATACATGCTTTATTTTCAGTTCCAGCATATGTACAATCTTTCATACCCATGATCAACATTTGTATCAAAGCAGTGTATTTGTTGCAGTCAATGAAGCTACATTCCCAGTTTGCTTTTCATTGTTTTGCTAAACACCATGACAGGAAACAACTTGGGAAACAAATCACTTCAACTTATACTCATGTCACAGTCCTTTACTGAGGGAAGTCAGGATAGGAACTCAAGCAGGAAACTGAAGGCAAAAACTGTACCAGAGAACCTGAAGAAACACATTTATAGGCTTGCTTCTCATGGCTTGCTCGGCTTGCTTCAAACCTAAGCCAGCTTCATGGAGGTGACACTACACACATTGAATTGGGCCTTCCCACATCAGTCATATATCAAGAAAATACCGTCACAGACATGCCCACAATGCAGTCTGGTAGAGACAAGCCTCCAAGGGACTCTATGTTGTGTCAAGTTCACAAAAACTAAAACTAAACTTTATGCTATATAGGCCCGGATTATCACTGAAAGTCTAGCATTTATATCGCTGTTTATTTGGTATTCTATAGTCTGCAAGTTTTGACAAATACATAATGATATACATCTACCGGAAGAGTATTGTACAAAAAGCTTTACTGTTCCAGACATTTCTATTCCACTTATTAATCTCTTCTGCCCCCCCCTTGGCAACAAGGACTCATTTACTTTGTCTATAAATCTCTTCTAATCAATAATGGCCCTCTCAAACCAATTGAACCCCAGAGGAAGATAACACTTACATCTTTTCCAGAATGTCATATAGCTTGACTCATTCAATGTTTTTGCATTTCTAGATTTGTTGCTTTCAGTTAGTGTTGCTCATTTAGGCTCCTCTGTGCCTTTTCTGTGCAGAAAAAATACACTATCTCATGGTCCTGCATTGCCATTTTCAAGGTATGGCAGAGATGAATAATGCTACTATGAGAATATATGAAGCTTTTTGTGGGAAGAAAGGTTTACAGCTTCTTTAGGTAAATGCCAAGGATAGTGACTGCTGAATTACACATTGTGACCTTGTTCTACTCAAGTGGCCATACCGATTTTGCATTCCTACCAGCAGTGAAAGTTCTTGTTTTTCCCACTTATGCAGGCATTTGTTGTCAGTGTTCTAGAGAGATGTGTAGTGATTTGTATTGTTGTCTTAATATGCAGTAGACAAAACACATACGTTTAATTTATTAACATCTACCTTTAAGCTTTATTGTGTCATTTTACTTCAACAACTCAGGAGCATGTACTTGTTTTTCTTCTCTTACAACTTTTGGTCTATATTTTGTGATTTACTTTGGCATGTACTCTACACAACACAATGCATTGCTCTTATATTTTCTTTAAAATGAGATAAATAATAAGAAAAGTATCTCATGTGTATAAAATTTTCCAGGGCTCCTATTTTATTTGTGTATGCTCAAGTGTCTGTTATGACTTTCTTTTAGCCTGAAGAAGGTACTTCCATTCGCGCGCGTGAGCACGTGTGTGTGTGTGTGTGTGTGTGTGTGTGTATCCAAGTATGCACGTTGTTTTGAAAGGCTGCAATTTACCAACAAATAGTTAATAGTTCTCACAATGCAAACCTGCTGGCAGTGAATTCTTTTTGTTTGATGAATTCTATATATGAAAAAGCCTTACTTCTATCTTCATTTCTGAAACACTTCCTGGGTTGAGCTTTCTAGTTTGACAAAATTTGTTCTTCATATCTTTAAAGTCTTCTCCCCAGAGAAGAAATTTTAATAACACTCCTTCTGAAGAACTGTCTCCTGTGGTAGATAGTTGTAGAATTTTTCAACTAAACTTACCTTAGAAGGAAGTATAAGACTCTGGTTGAATTAAATGTTAAATTACATATTTTCAAATATAATAATTTTTGGTTTAAATATTTAAATTCGGAGTAAAACCAAGTCTAAAAAACAAAATTTTGTTTCTTATTAACACTAAATGTACTTTAAATAGAATTTATGAAGTACTAGTACATCCATCAGTGATGCTATAAAGATAAGTAAAACAAATTTCTCACTTCAAACTTCATAAATGCAACAATATCTAGTATGCATAACAGAGTATTTTTAAATACGAGTAAGAATTGTGCTTGCTGAATGCTATGTATATTACGGGGAGGAATACAGATCCTGTTAGGAAGTTAGATCAAATGCTATCAAAGACACTTAAACTTTTAAAGATAATAGACTTGTTTCAGGGGAAGAGAAAATAAAGAACTAAATCACAAAACTAAGACTAATGGATGCTGTTTACAGTTTTCTGATGACTCTTAGGCAGAACCATCATGATGGTGACCGGACCTACATCATACAAACAAGCGAGAAGGCGTTGATGAATATGAAGTTACTAAGAGAAAATATTAAGCTGGGCGTTGGTGGCACACGCCTTTAATCCCAGCACTCAGGAGGCAGAGGCAGGCAGATCTCTGTGAGTTCGAGGCCAGCCTGGTCTACAGAGTGAGTTCCAGGATAGCCTCCAAAATAGTACAGAGAAACCCTGTCTCAAAAAACTAAAGAGAGAGAGAGAATATTAGTAATAAGGGATATTCTTACTAAAGTGAATCTAACAGAACTCTATAGAAGAGGAGCTACATTGATCAGATATCATCTAGAGAAAAGTGGAATGTGAAGACTCAATTGGAAGTGGACCCATACTAAAGGTAGAAATGTCTACGGACTCAGTAGACATTTAATAAGACTTTATTTCACAAGGATGTACACAAATTACCCTACAAGGTTCACAAGCAATCTGACTAAACCTTAGTCAAGCATCATTATATTCAAAGAACTGCAAGTCATTTGGTCTTGTAAAGAAACACACTAACATTCATAAATCTTCCATTTCTTACTGTCATTCACTTTAGAATTGTTGCTGTTCAGCTGTTATCACATTGTCCCAAACTGGAAACAGAGGTACACCTTCAACACATCAACTTGAAAAATGAAATAAAGTAAGTATTTTACTTGAGAGTCTTATATGTGCTTTATGTCACACAAAGCAGATAGTTAGCCAAATTGTTCAATAGATAACTCTGGATCTCCCACTATAGCATAAGTCTTCCGTTGTACCTCATCCATTCTCTGCATGACCTTACCCCATTCCTTTTGGTCAAGCTCTCTGTAAGCCAAATAGTGCCCACTTCCTTCTAGAAAATTTTAACTCTCTGCTTGAACTTTTTAGCATGTATGTGCTCAGGCTGGCAATGGACATCATAGACAAGGAGAATAGAGGGAGCCATTGACTTTCGTATTGGGGCCAGAATAAGCCATCTCTCCTTGTATAGCATGGTGATTTGCTTATTTGATGAAGGCAGACCATTGTTTCATACTCTGCTACTATTATAATCATGGCTTTAGGCCACATTGTACTTTTGAACTTATTTATCTTCCTGAAATGTGTATTCCTGTGTGTCTAAAGACTCAATGTGAATGTAGATAAATTATATTGTATTATGGCTTTTATCAAAACAATTGAGCATGTCCTATGTCAGGGAAAGTATGTCTTTCTCAACTCAGGAACAATTCCACGTTCTGAAGGCCATTGTTTTTTTTTATTCTATTGGCTCTGAACATCTTCAACAAATTCTGCAATGAGATGAGCTAACATTTGTTTAGAATATTTATCCATTAGTAAGTATCACTTTCTTTCCTTTCAGCAATTTGTTCCAAACTACAGTATAAAATGTCGCATTATTGATGTGGCATTATCAAGTTCCATCATGATTGACCTGATGTCATACTGTTTTGTAACAAAACTGGTTGCTGTCAATCAGAGGTACTTACAGAAACCTGTTATAAACGCAGAGAACAATTTGTGCCAGCAAAGAACCATCTGGTGTACTCTATGCTTTGAGTGATGAAAATCGTTAAAGTTTAAATGTGAATTTTTGGTGTGTTAAAGTCTTTGCTTAATCTTTGAAATTTTCAATATTGTGATAATTTTCTGAGAGTGGTAAGACTGCTTAGGACTTTTTGCAAAATCTTTAATTAATTTTTATAGCCCATGCTAGTTAAAAGTCTACCCTATGAATCTTCTTTATAAAGGAGAATACATTTCTCAGTGTGGAAAAGAAATTAGGGATTGCAGGTGATACAAAGAAAGGATGGAAAATAGAGTAGAAGAGAGAAAGATGAAGATATCTGGGCTGTTTGGTTTTTCTCAACTTGACACACTAGAATCACCTGGGAAGAGGCAATCTTAATTGAGATGCTGTCTCCATCAAATTGGCCTGTGGGCATGTCTGTAGTGTATTTAAAATATTTTTACTGGTGTTGGAGGGTCTAACCTACTGTGGGCTGTGCCATCCCTATGAAGGTGTGCCTGGACTTCATAGAAAAATAACTGAGGAAACAAACCAGTAAATAGGATTTCTTAGTGCTCTCTGCTTTGGTTTCTGCCTCTAGATTCCTGCCTTGAGCTCTTGTCCTGTCTTCCTCCAATGATGAAATAAAACACTTTCTATGCCAAGTTGGTTTTGGTCACTGTTTTATCATAGCAACAGAGAAGTTAACTAGGACAGTATGCTTTGGCTTGTCTACTGAAAAGGAGAAAAATGGTTAAAGTAAGATTTCTTGCTTTGATGTTCTTTTTTTTTCTTTTTAATAGTTAATATTTATTCTTTAACAAGTTCAAACTGTATACAATGTGTCTCAGTCATACCCTCTCCCCTCTCCTCCCCCTGTGCACTTCCCTAACCTGCCCCTTCCCTTTGATAGTTTCGCTTTTCCATCTAGTGTAAATGTTGTTGTTGTTTTTTATTTATTTTTCAGTTTAAATTTAAATTAGAAACAAGGTTGCTTCACAAGTCAGTTCCAGGTCCCTCTCCATTTCCCTCCCCTCCTCCCGTGCCCTCCCCCCACCCCCCCCCCCCGATTATCCCCTCATTTCCCCAAGGAGGGTGAGGCCCTCCATGGGGGTGTCCTTAGTCTGTCATTTCATACAGGGCAGGGCCTAGACCCTCCCCCAAGAGTTCAGGGTGAGAGTGCATCTCACATTGTTGGATGAGAGTCCAAAATCCGTGTGTATACTCGGGATGAGTACTGATCTTGCTTTGATGTCCTTATATGCACTCTGAGGTTCTCAGGGGCTTAGCAATATTCTAGACTCTGAAACAGTACCGTGGCACCCAAACTTTGTCTATGCATTCTCCTTTCTCCTACTTCTGTTTCTGCCACTTTGCTTAGAAGTTATTATTACATGTTTGTTTGTACTCTTTGAAATCAATTCTCAAGAATATCTTGAAGAAAAATTAAAGAGAACTGAAAGCAAGATTTAGGATAGTACATACAAAGAAGAATGGCCTCCTGAATCTCCCTGCAGCAGGCAGGAAACAATCTGTGATGTAAGAATGACATGACAATCTCTATTTGAAAAACACCATGAAAAGTTTTCTTTCCACCTTTGTGTACTTTACACTCCTATCTGCTCTTAGTTCAAACCATTATGCTTCTGAGGACATAAAACTTATGATTTTTTTCTTTTTATTTAACTGTTCCTTCCATCACCCTAAAACAGGTATCTCTAGGCTCAGCCTGTGTTCTTTTCATGTTTGAGTGTGCAAGTACTCTTTCTCCCCCCCTCATCATGTTGCATTCACTCTGAAGTTACAACATGACTTCAATAATTACTGTTGTTCATATGTCAAAAGGCTTTCTCTCAAGCCTTCATTGTGTTTTTATGGAAGAACCAATGGTCATGATGTTTACTTTCCAAGCATTCATGATATGAGATACACTCTGAAGAGAAGGCAGAATGTTGATATGTGTGCGGTAGTTGATAGACATAAAAACAACTCAAAAAGCCTGCTCACAGTTAGTTTAGAATCATATCCTTCCTCCTTTTTGATTATTATTTCCCTAGAGAAACAGAATTTGAAATATAAAAATCTCTTTCAAATCCAACTTGGTGTTCTAAACCTTAAAGTGGGAAAATATTAAGGCACTTTGTGTTCTATGGACATTGGCAGAGTTGTTGCCTATAATAAGTGTTTTTGAGCTTTTTTAATTAAAATTTTATTTATGTTTTATTAAAAATATTTTTCATACAGTATATTTTGATCATGGTTCCCCCTCCCTCATCTCCTCCCAGATCCTCCATACCTCCCCATCATCCAACTCCAGGACCTTTTTCTCACTCTCCCTAGAAAGAAAACAGGCCAATAAAAAAAACTACCAGAATAAAACAAAATAGACAGAAAAAAAGAATAAATAGAAAAATACAAAGAAGGAAAGAAAGAAAAGGCATGAGAAACAAACACTCATACAGTGAGTGAGAGAGAGAGAGCCTAAAACATAAAAGTGGAAACTATGATAGATGAGCCAAATATGATTAAACAAATCATTATGAAACAAAACAGTGCCTTACAGATGACAGCAGGTATAATGCACATACAATTTCACAGTGACTATAGCAGCCGATTTATATTATATCATCTGCCTCAGCAGTTAAGACACCTGTTTCTCTACAGAGGATCTGGGTTCTATTCCACACATTGACTTGGTAGATTGCAACTGTCTGTAACTCCAGCTTCAGGTGACTAAATGACTTTTTGTATATTCTGCACTCACTGCAAGTATGTGGTGCACATACATATAAGCAGGTCCAAAGCCCATCACATAAAGCAAAAATAAATACATATTTATAAAACTTGTAACATATCCTACTTTGCATAATATAGAGAAAACAATATAGCAGAGTAGTTTATCATGTCCCTTTCATTTTATACAGTCACCATACCAGGTAACATCTGGAACCCACAGATGTGGACAGCAAGAAGAATAGAATCCTGCTAGTATGAGTCATGTGTATGCGCATACGTGATTACAACACAGACACTTCTGAGTCTTCTCAACGATGTTCCTAGCATCTCTTAGTATCACTTCTCTTGACAGAAATGAAGTATTCTCAACTCTGCTCCAAGAAGAGTTCATGTAGGAGAAAATGTGGGCTAGAGAAAAAGAAAGCTGAGACAGCTGACAAGATTCATGCATGAATTTAACAGTTTTTCTGCACATCTCTTCTACAACCCCAGCTGCATGTGAGCCCATTGCTAGCTTTAGAAGCTTTGCTGCTTGGTATGAAATTTTACACAATTTTAAAACTGATTTCTGTATTAACTGCTTATGTTTATTTGTATTCATGCAACTTTTCACAGCTTAATTTTGAAAATTATTACTTTTCTCATCAGTGTATGATTAAGGTCATTTTCAACTAATTCATGTGATACATTTATATATGTGGTATCTTAGTCATCTCTGCATGTTGATAAGCTTTACATTGGATTTTGTAACAGTGTTTGGTTTGTTTTGCTTTCCAAGATTTTCCTTTTAAAGCATTCCTGATTATTTTCTTACTAAAATTCTATATTTTACTTCTTCCTACTTATGTCATAATTGATTACAAATTCCTTTTGATATGTTAAATGTCCTATTTCTGTGTAAGTTTCTTCCTTTAACACACCTGAGATAATACAGTTTTTTTGTTTCTTTGTATGTTTTTCATTTGTTTGTTTGTTTTCTGAAACAGGGTTTCTCTATGTAACAGCCTGGCTGTTCTGGAGCTCACTCTGTAGACCAGGCTGGTCTCGAACTCACAGAGATCCACCTACTGCTGCCTCCCTAGTGCTTGAAGGCATGCAGCACCACCACTTGCCTTAGTCCTCAGATTTTCAAGTTGTAGATTGTGACTCCATACAGCATCCTGTAACTAAATGTGGGAGTTGTGAAAAGTTTGGTAACAGTAAAGGGTTTTTGAACACTGGTTCTTTTCTTTTAGTCTATTAGGAATAATTCATTGGACTGATGAATGACTGTGGCATTATTTCCCTGGGTTGCAGTAGTAAGATCTAGTTTCCTTTCTTTCTTATTTTATTTTACTAACTCTTCTGTCATATAATATGTCTTGACCAAAGCCTCCCCTCCTCACTCTTCTCCCAGTCCTACCCTTCACTTC